CGGAGGGCTGAGCCGGTGGCCCAGGACTGCCATCTTCCCGCCCGCACATCAGGGGGCGTAATTGGCCTTGGCCGCTGCACTTTCTGCGTGGCAGGCGCTGGCCACACAGGCAGTCCTTTGGGCAGCTGGCACTGACGCCCATCCTGCAGGGAGGCCGCCACAAGCACAGGGGTGGCGGTCCCAGGGGAAAGCATCATCCATGGAGACTGGTGGATTGAAGGAAGGTCGGGGGTCTGGGAAGGACCCCCGCATCCACCCCTCACCTTGAGTCTGGCCCCCTCTCATCAGCGAAGCCCACCTGTGCTGCCTCCTGATAGAGCAGATGCTGCGTTCTAGCAAACAGCTGGCTGGCTGCACCCCGCCATTTGGCCCCTGTTGCCCTTGCCCCTCCCAGTGGAGGCCCCCGGGGGCAGGTGGAGCCTCCTGGAGTCCTCAGCCTGAGCCCCGGGGCCAGGACACCCCTGCCTCTTCCCCTACCGCCCAGGGCTGTGCTGTATGAGGACCTGTCCGGGGCCCTGCCAGACCCCACCTCCACCCACAGCAGAGGGTAAGGCTGACGCCTGCCCCTGCAGCCAGCTATTGGCAGCTGTCCCGGGCCAGGGGCGCGTGGCTGCAGCAGGGATGGGGGTGGGAGTCGCAGTCGCCTGGTGGGGAAGCCGCAGGAACCCCCACTGCCCTCACCTGGGGCTGCTGCAGGCCCTTCATTGGCCCCCCTGCCTATGCCCTGGGATGGGGCACATGCCTCAGCTCAGGCAGCATGAGGGGTGGACATTGGCCCAGTCTGATGTGCCCTCCCCCGAGTCCCCCGCCCACCTGTGTGCCACTCCCCAGAGCGTGGCTGCAGGGTGGCGGGTGGGGCCCCTGGGAACCGCACTCAGGTGGGAATGTGTGGCTCCCTGCAGCCTCGGGGGCGGCCTCGTGCCCCTCGGGCCCAGAAGAGAGGCCTGCAACAGGTGACAGGCCCCAGGGCAGTGAGGGCGGCCCGTGTGCTCGCCTGTGACCTATGACCCCTGCTGCGGGGCTGCAGCCCAGGACACCTCAGGCCCCTGCGCTGGCCACTGGGCCTGACGCTGACTCGCTGCCTTCTCACCCCAGACGAACTCCAAAGTCAGGACCCCCAGAAGGAAGCGGCTCATACCCCTGGAAGCAAACATGTGACGAGGGCCCACGAGGGCGTCACACAGCCCCCAGTGGACACGGAACTTATGCCGGCAGAGGCCCTGCTCCAGGCCGCCTTCACAACGCACACCAGTGGTGGCCGGTCTGCACCGGAACGCTGCCCAGCCAGGCACACACGGGGCTGGGATCCGGAGCCCTCGGGCAAGACCCCAGCTGACCGGGTCTGTGAGGCCAGGACGAGCCTGCAGGGCCACCCACCTGCCGGCGTCCACAGGAGAAACCCTGAGGGCCAGGTCTGGGACCTACAGAAGCGTGCAGGCCCGAGTTGGGGCCGGGACCCACGTTGAGGACTGACCGGGGCTCAGGCAGGGCTGGGCAGTCAGTGCTGGAGCACAGAGCTGCGGATGGGGTCAGTCCCAGGCTGGGCGGCAGCCTGGCTGGGCCTGAGGCGGGTTCCTGAGGGCCTGGCCACACGGCTAGGGAAGGGGCTGGTAGGTGGGCCACAGCCCAGACTGGAAGCCCGACTTCCAGACCCAGCGGCACTGAGCCACGGACATGCCCGCTTCAGACGGGCTCGTGCATAGTGGGGCAGCAGGGCCCGGGGCACCGTGGGCCAGCCTCCCCGCATCCTGCCTGCTGGGGGCCTGGGCTGCGGGGTCACAGGAGTCTGAGGGCAGCACCCAGCTCACAAAGCAAACCTTCATCTCCTCGGAGACAGGTCCCTGAGCCTCAAAGTGAACCCCGAACCCAGGGCACTGTGTTCCCCGGTGACCAGCGCCCAGGCCCCCCAGTCTCTTAGGAGAGCCGTTGGCCCCCGGATTCCCCCACCCATCCCCGTGCCCACCCAGCCTGTTCTGAGGAGGCCCTGAGCCCAATCAGGCTTGGTTGCTCAGCCTCACTGTATGGGCCAGGCACAGGGCCCCAAGAGAGCCCCCCCAGTGGCCAGGCCCTCCCCGCCCCGCCTCGGACCCAGCCCCTTGGTGCGATGAGCAGCCGCAGTGGCCCCCGCCCACCAGAGACCCTTCGTGTTGGACTCGCCACCACCAGGCGCACAGCAGCAGCCGCCTCCCCACGCCCCAGCCCGGGGCCGCACGAGGGCTCCGGCCTCTGTGCCCCATCTCGAGGCAGCCCCCACCCCCCGGCCCACCAGTACCTGTGCCCTGGGTCTAGGCAAGTCACCTGGGGCCACCTTCCATCTGGCCTCACAGCAGCTGCCAACCCTCGCGGGCCCCACACAGCAGCCCCCAGGAACGCTTGACCTTGTGCCCTGGGCCCAGGCCAAGCCTGTGTCCCCCAAATGCCCCGTGTTCCTGCCCCACATTCTGTACCCGTCCCGGGTCCCTGGCCCGGCCCCAGGACAAGGCTCTGATCTCCTGCCAGCCCCCTCAACACAAGGCCCATGGGGGTAGGGTTGTGCCCCACACCCCTCATCCTTGACCCCTGGCCACACTGCCCCGTCCCTGGCATCAGCCTCGGGCCCCCCTTCAGGACAGCTGCCGGCCGGCCGGCCAGCCGACACCCCTTTGAAACCAGGGAAGCTGGGCAGCAGCAGGGGGCAGTCACACCCTGGGTGTCAGAGACCAGCCGCCCTTCCAAGTTTGCCCGACTTCAAGGGGACCGGCTTACCGTGCGCAGGGCAGGGCAGATCAGAGGGAGGGCGGCCGGCTGGCTCGGCCTCTAAGGCCATGCGCTCCTGGCACCCCCCACCCAGTGCCCTGCACCCACCAAGGACACCCAAGTCTCCTGAAATGGCCTGGCCTGGTCAGGTCTGAGGGTCACCCTGAGGACGCAGTCGACCCCCTCACCCACCTCCAGACTGGGCCCCCGGGCAGGCCCCGACCATGCCCACCCCCAGAACACCCCGCAGAGCTGGGGATCATGGCATCTGTGTCCCCACTGGTAAGCCCGTAGGATTGGCAGCTGCCCCGGGCCTTTCTGCCTATGGCCCAGGGCGCCCTGGGGCCTGGCGTCTGTTAGAATCTAGGGCAGCCGTGAAGGGCAGGGGAACCCAGGACCAGCCCCACGGAGCCCGAGGGGTTGGGGGGTATGTGGCCCAGCCACAGAGCCTCTCCCTTGCCCCCCAGCTCCCCTCAGTCCTGCCACCCCAGTCCCCCCACCTGTACCCCTGAACCTGGTCAGCCTGGAAGTCCCTGATGCCCCTGACAAAGGTGTAGGGCGGGGCAGCAGTTGGCAGAGAGCCAGGGGGCAGGGTCAGCTGGCGAAACAGTCAACAATCACCTGTTAGGGGCAGACTTTGCACCCCCTTGGGGACACTATCTCTCCTCTGCCAGCCTCCCCCCACGGAAAGGACCCACTGCTGTCTGGTGGGCTGCTCCCCTCATGCCCATCAGATGGGGATGCAGGGAGGTGACTCCGTCCTGGCAGTGTGGGCATGGGCAGATTGTGTGTACCTCTGCAATGTGTGTGTGCGGGGGGGGCGGCTGGGCCGAGGCCAAGGGGCGTCCAAGTGGGCCCTGGTCACCTGGGGTCATGGTAGCATTGAGGGGCAGACAGCCCAGGACAGGAGAGGTGTTGGGGGAGGTCACAGCTGCAGACTGGGGGCTGCAGGGAGTGAGGAGGTGCTGACCCCCTCCGGGCAGTGGCTGAGGAGGCTGTGGGGGGATGGGGCCTGAGCCCCAGGGTGCAGTCTGCAAATGGGGGGCACTTGCTCATCAGGTGGCAGAGCAGCCTCAGGAGGACCAGGTGGACCACCGGTCTTACCTTGGGGCTGAGGGCCCCGCCCATGTGAGGCCAAGAAAGGCAGGAGTCAGGGCCTGTCTCCTTCAGGTTCTGGAGGCTGTGCCCCCACCGTGCCTGCCCTTCTGACCTAAAGGTGTCCCAATGGCCCGCTGCCCAGGGTCTCCCCACCAGTGGACAGAAACCTTCTTGCTACCCAAGACCCATCCCTCCCGCATCTTAGACTGAAATCCAAGCAGCCCCTCCCCTCCCAACCTGCAGTCTGGAGGGTTTGTAGGGGTCGCCAGCTGTGAGCAGCCACAGCCCCCAGGGCACCCCGAGTCACTGCAGCCAGGACCACTGCAGTGGGGTCACTCGGAGGATGGCGAGGTGTTGAGGACACTGCCCGGAGGCCCCAGTGGAGGGGGAGGGGGCTGGGGGTCCAGCCCTCAGAGACAGAGGAGGAGGGGCTGCTCCAGTGTGAGGTTGAGGGACAGGGGCTGAGGCCTTGACCTTGGAGGGGGGCCCGGCAGTGCCTGGGAAGGATGGTGGGTGTCCCAACCTACAAAGCCTGTCCTTGTTTGGAGAAGCTAAGGCCCGGCAGCAGCCCAGGCCGGGCCCTCCCCACCAGACTCCAAGGCTCTGGGGATGTCGGGGGCCTCACACGGACGACTCTGCTGAAACCACACAGGTTGTCTTAGTGCCTTTTCCTAAGAGGCTCCAGCCCCCTGGGCCCGAGGAAGCCCCACCCTCAAGTGCTGGTCAAGCAAGTTGGAGCCTTGTGCCCCCAAGTGGTGAGCGAGACCATTGTTGCCCCACCCAGGGGTGGTGGCCAGACCCTTGGGACGGCACCCTGCAGGCGGCAGGTGCCTGGGTGGGGTGCCGCCCCACCCCTTGGAGGGCAGCCCCAGCCCTCCTCCAAGGCCACCCAGCTGCGCCAGACGGGTCTGTGTGAGGGCCCTGGGGCTACACCATGGAGGGGTGTTCATGGGCCAGGTGCCAGGGTTCCAGCCGGCCAGGGAGGCTGGCGTGTACCTGTGCACAGGGCAGTGCTTCTGTGCGGGGGCAGACACAGAGCCCTGGGGACCTCGGGTCCCGGGCTGGACCTCAGGCCCTGCAGTGGGACTCGTTCCTGGTCTGGAGCCCAGGCCACAGGCCCACATGCTCACACACTGGCACACAGATACACACACAAGCAGCAACGCTAGTTTAGAGGAAGAAGATGCACGTTTTCTTATTTAACAAAATAAATTAAATATACGAAGCTTCAGCTCAAACTCTATATAAAATTACAGAGGTCTGGGCCACCTCAGACAATGGGGTGATGGGTGCCTGGCCCCGAGCGGACGTCCAGCCTGGCCAAGGCCAGGTGGGTCCTGGGCCTGGGAAGGCCAGGTCTCTGTGGCCCTGCTCTTTCATCATTAATATTATCTTAATTTCATAAATATAAATATTAAGGCCCCCTTCTCTCCGGTAGTGGGAGGTGGGTGTGACCAGAGTCACTCCCAGCTGAACTCCAGCCTCTCAGGACAGGGCCTGAGACGGCTATGCCCGACCCCCCAGCCCAGGGTGTGGGGGCTCCTGAACACCCAGGACAGGTGGCGGCAAAAATAGCCGCCCACCTGCCGAGGCCTGGGCAGAGACAGGCAGGCAGGCGTAGGGCAGGGGTGGGAGTTTTTGGTTTGCAAAGCCAGGGCGTCTCTCAGATCTCCTGCCAGGCAGGGGCGGTGACCATGCCCCCATGAAACCCTCCTCACAGGCCAAGGGCTTCCCTCCCCAAGTGGCCCAGCCCTGCGTGCCCTGCGCGCTGCAGACGCAGGCCCGAGCGTGGGTGTGGCTGTGCCCGGAGCAGGCCTGTGTGTGTGGAGGTCCGGCCCGCACGCCGTGCCTCACACAGCGCCCGGGCTGCTGGCTGCATCCTCCCCAGTGCACACCCCCCGCCCCCCGCTGCGGCCCTGTTCCCCAACTGCCTGCTGGCCTGGCCTCCGGTGCCCCCCCCCCGTGGCACCCAGAGCCCCAACAGCAACACCACCTAGCACTGGTAGTGGATGTGCTGGTGCTGGTGGACTTTGCCCTCCACGTGTGAGTGCGTGTGTGAGTGCGTGTGTGTGTGCGTGTGCACATCTGTGTAGAGTTTGGGGTAAAGCTTGGGGCCAGCAGCTGAGCCCGGGCCCAGCAGGTGCTGGGGGGCCGCCGGGGCCCCAAGCTCCTCACACAGCCCCATGCCAGCGGTGGTGCCAAGGCCAGGGGACACAGGCAGGTCCTTATCCCCGCTGCGGTCTCGGGTGGTCACTGGCGTGCGGTGTGCAGGTACAGGGGGCGCTGGTGCAGGTGCACACGGCTTCTTCTTGGCCTGGCAGAGCCACAGCAGCACCGTGCCCAGGATGAAGACAGCGCCGGCTGGGATGCCGATGACCACAGGCCACGGCAGGCTCGTGGTTGAAGACGAGGGGTGTATGGGTGGCCCTGGTGGCTTTGGATCTGCAGGCGAGAACCAGGAAGAAGGCGGGAGGGGTCAAGAGCGTCTGCACGAGGCTCAAGGGGCGGGGGCTGGGCAGGCGGTGTGCGGCACCTGGCAGCACGGTGAGGAAGGCGCTGCGGAAGCTGTAGCCCATGGTGTTGGCGCCCAGGCAGATGTACATGCCCGCGTCGTCCTGGCGGGCACGGGTGATGAGCAGCTTGTTGAGGTAGGAGCCGTCCGGCCGCGACCACACGTCGCCCGTGGGCAGCACCACGAACTTCTGGCCGCCCACGTCGATGGTCGAGTTGTAGCGGCCCTCAGAGCCGTACTCCACACGCTTCAGCCACTGGATCACGGGCTTCACGTCACTGCGCACTTTGCACTGGAAGGACGTCGTGCCCCCGAAGTCCACCGTGGTGTTCACGGGGTGCGTGCCCGTGAGGACCGGCTTGGAGCGGGTCCGCTCTGCAGGGGAGATGGCATGTGGGCATGTCCCCGGCCCCGCCCCGGCCCCCGTCCCCCGGCCGGCACTCACGGATCACGTCCACCTTGTAGGTCGCGTTGATGGCGCCGGCGCGGTTGGACACCCGGCAGGTGTATTTGCCGCTGTCCTCGGGGCGCAGGTTCTTCAGGCTCAGCGTCCACTTTTTCCTGTGCTCGCTGGCCTCGGGGCGCGTCAGGGCCTGGTCGTCCTTCATCCACATGATGTCGGGCCGCGGGTGCCCGCTGGCCACGCACTTGAGACGCACGGAGCTGCCCACAGGCCGTGCAATCACCCGGCGCCTCATCTTGGAGGGCTGCGTGAAGCGGGGCCGTGCTGCCAGGTGGGCGCCAGAGAGGTCAGTGGGGCTCTGACAGAGGGGTCCCGCCTGCCCCCGAGGACTGAGGTGTCGCCCACACTCACCCCACTGCTTGCTGGCTGGCTCCTCCCGGCCCCCGGAGGAGCCCTCATGGCCCGGGCTCTCCCTGGCTGGGCTGGTGTCCTCTGCAAGGGGAAGGGTGCATGACAGGGGTCCCCACGGCACCCCCAGACCCAGGCTGATCCGCAGGCCTGGGCATCTGGCCAGGCTGTGAAAGCCTTCAAAAGGCCACGGGCGCACACGCCCATCTCAGAGGCCTGGAGACAGCTGGGCACAGCCTGCCCAGCCCACTCCCAGGGTTCAGGTGACCCCAACAGGCTGGGGGGGGCAGGACTGAGAGTGGGCCCCCCCACCCTGGCTCCGGGGGGTCTACAGGCTGGGGGGAGGGGCAGGCGAGGCGGCAGCTGCGGTAATCCTAGCCCACATCAAGGGGCCGGGGGCCGGGTGAAGTGACATGGGCCACATACCACCCCAGCGTCCCCTGCTCTGAGAGGACCGTGGGGGGGGGGGCACAGAAAGTGCTCCCATTCCACAGCCCCCGTGGGGGTGGGGCTTGTGGAGGAATGCCCCCTCCCCAGGACAGCCGCGCCTCTGCGAGCCCAGGGCCCGACTGTCTCAGGCACCCGCCCTGGCCCCAGCAGGGGGAGCCCAGCTCAGGCCACACCCTAGTGGACGGGCCAGGGCCATTGTGTCCTGAGGGACCCCCCCAGGGAGGCCCCACCCCAGAGACCCCTCCCCAAGGGATCCACACAGGGAGCACATGGGGGGCAGTGTCTGGTACCCGTGAGAGCAGGGCGTGTCCCTGGGTACGCAGCCCCAGAGGCAGAAGGGAACAGACGGTCCTTGGCTTCCTGGCGGCCCCTCTGAACTCCGAAACCTGAGCCTCAAAGTCACCGCCAACAGCAGGGCTGCCAGCCTACCCAGCACACCCTTCAGTGGGTCGACCACTGGGGCCCCACACCCACTCCTGCTGCCCCAGTGCCCCCTGGCTCCAGGACAGCAGGCCCTTGGGAGGGAGGGTCCCAGAGGGTCTGAGGACAGAGGTCAGGCCCCATCCTGGGCTCAGAAAAGGTGGCAGGACATCCTGGTGGCGGTGGGCCTGGCTCAAGCTAAGGGGGTCGGGTGGGGGCCATGGGGAGGGCCGGCCCCAGCACGTGCCATGCCATACCGGTGGCACTCACCGGTCACAATGAGGGTGTAGTTGACGCTGAGGCTGCCGAAGCCGTTGGTGGCCTTGCACACATAGGCCCCCGAGTCCTCCCGCTCCACCTCTTTCACCCGCAACCCCTGGGGCAGCACACGGAACCGGCTCCAGCCACCGTGGATCGTGCGTCCATCCTTAGTCCACATGGTCAGTGGCGGTGGGTCCCCCTCCACCGGGCACTGCAGCCGAATGGTGCGGCCCAGCCGGGCCACCTGCCGAGGGACCACCTTGTCTGCCATCCTCGGGGGGCCTGTGGGCAGGTCAGAGCCTGGTCAGGGTGGCGGTGGTGGGGTAGGTGCTGGGAGCCGGGGCGGGGCTGTCCCCGAAAATCCCCACTCAGGACTCCACCCCCGTGAGGCTGGGAACACAGGGCCCTCCTCCCAGACCACGGTCTGCATTTGCCCCGGCCCACCAAGGGCTGGGCCACAGCCACCAAGCCCCCGCCACACACCACTGCATGGAATCAAGCTCGGCCGGAGCAGCTCGCTGGGACACGTGTCCCGGGGGGGCGGGGGGGCTCTCACCAGCCCCCACAGACACACATGTGCACAAGTCACGTAGCTCCCATGTAGCACCCCTGTGGCTGATGGCCCAGGCCCATGTGCGTGGACTCAGTCTGCCTGGACAAGGGCCTCCCTGCGGCCAACCGCAGCTAACACACAGCTTCGCCCAAGGCCACGGGTCACAGAGTGAGTGGAGGGTGCGCCGGCCCTGGGTGCGGGATCCCTGTTGGGTTGGCAGTCTGTGCCCAGCGTCACCAAAGGAGAGGACCGTGGCACCCCTCACTGTGGCAGAAAGCCCACATCTGGTCTCGGGGCCTCTAGAGTCAAGTGCAGGGACAGTGGGGCAACCAGGCCTGGAGGACACTGAGTAACTGGCCCACTGGGAAGGACACCCAGGTGTCCAAAAGCACAGGGGTCATCTCCTGCCCAGGAGCAGGAGCCAACAACACACTCGCCCTGCCCAGGAGCTTGGCCAGCCTGGCTCCAGGACCCTGCCCGCCACCCCATGCTGGGGCCACCGCAGGCCCAGAGGACCGGTGTCCAGGTCCTGGCCTCACAGACACTCCTGGAGGTGGCGGCGGCTCCCAGATGCTGTTGAATGGGCCCGAGGGCCACATGTGTTTTTAATAACCAGCTGGTGTTCCTTCAACATGCAATTACCAGCTGGTGTACCGAGGCCTCTGCAACCAGGGCCACTCGTGCCTCTGTGGGGCCAACAGACACTCATGAGGCAGCTTCCCACACATTACCGGCCCCTCCAGGACCCTCCCGGAGCACTAAGCCCCTCACTCCTCTCTAGGGACACCGAGGGGGGCTGGGCGCCACTCCCACTTAAGGCAGGGAGCTGACGGCCCAGGGTTCAGAGTCTCTGGTTCCCAGTGCGGGGGGGGGGGGGGGGGGCTCCTCCCAACCCCACCTGCTCCCTCATCCTGCCCCGCACACCCCACTCCGCCAAGCCCACCCTGCCAAGATGCAAGTCCACTCCCCATTCTGCCTGGATTTGGGACACTCCCACCCACCACGTGGCTTCTAGACAGTGCGCCATGGCCCCAGGCCCCTACACAGCCCACCAGCCGCCACCACACCCGTCCCTGGGAAGGGACAAGAACGCAGAGGTGGCAGGGGTCTGAGACCCACCTCTCCCTAACTCCTCAATGGTCTGCACGGCCCCCCAGGCCCCCACCCTGCTAGAGTGGGAGGGGCTGCAGGGCCCACAGACAGGGTCCCAGCCTCATTCCCAGGCGGACCCGGTCTGCCACCTGTCACTGTCTAAAATTCCGCCATTCACAAGGCCTCTGGCTGCAGGACAAAGAGGCCCCCCAGCCCTCCCAGCACTCTGGGCCTCCACAATGCCACCTGGGCACACGAAGATACATGCAACTGCTCAGCAGGTGTGGGGGGGAGGCCACGATGGAGCGACGGCCCGACACCTCCCTCTCCCCAAGGAGCCGGCTCAGTGGCAGAGGAAGGCCTGACCTGCCTGGGCTGGGGGCAGCGGAGCTTGAGCAGCGGGGGTGTCTCTCGGGCAGCAGCAGCCGAGCTGTTTAGACAGAGGTTGTGATGCCCCTCGGTCTAGCATCCTGCAGGACAGAGCCAAGAATGGCCAGACGGCCGGAAGTGTGGCCCCAGGGCGGCCCTGCGAGCAGTGCTGGGGGACAGGCGAACTGGAGCCAGCCTTATCCTAAAGCAAACAGTCCCCTCCCCGCCCCTGCAGCCAGACTGCCCCGCCCCACACCGACCCGGGGCCAGGCCAGGCCCCTGGGCTGCCCACACCTGCCCCGGCAGAGACTGCAGCAGGCTCCGGGCAGGAAAGCCCCTCCTGCAGGTCCCTGGGAACACGGCTCTCGACGTGACGGCTGCAGCTCTGTACTTGGCCTGGGGACACAGGCCCCCACCAGCCACCTGGGCAGAGTGTCCAGACCCCTCAGCACGGGAAAACTAAGGCAAGGCGGAAGCTTTGTGTGTGGGGGAAATGCCCGGGAGGGGAGCCCAACAGCAGCTCCGAGGCAGGGCCTTGGCCTCCTCCAGGGACCACCCCCCGCACCTCAGCCCCCTCCCTGTGAGCACCTCTTCCTGGAAGCCCCCAAGCCTACACACGCCTAAGCCACAGGTGTGGGAAGTTATGGGCACAGGCAGGCCGCGCAGGTCAATGGAGGAGCAGACCGGAGGCGGCAGAGGCCGGAGCGGGGCTCCCCCGCCACCGTGAGGGCTGAACACGCAGTGGGGCAGAGAGGACGTCTGTCCCCCTTTCCTTTCCCTCCTCCTCCCCTGGCTGTGAGGGCAAGGCCAGGAATGGGGGGCGGGGGTGCCCAGGGGCTGGTGTTCAGTGACCTGAAGGCCCCACCCCCACCTGGCTTCTCCCAGCTCAGGTGTCACTCACACCCTGTCACGTCAGCTGTCCCCCAAACGCAGAGGCTCTCCCTCAGAGACACAGACTGCCCAACTCTGTCCCCACTGTCCCCCAGACAGCCCCCCCACGCGCACAGTGCCCAACAGTGGGTGCAGACCTCCCACAGAGGGATACGACCCACCTCAGAGGGCCTAAGGCCCCAGGCCCACTGCTGTCACCCACCAGGCCAGGTTTGGTAAGACAAGAACCTTCTGTCACCCCGTGGGCCCAGGGATGGCGAGGGGAGCCAGGCGCCAGGGTGCACAGAGAGGTGACACACAGGGAAGGGTGGAGACAAGGCCCGGTGCCGTCTCTAGGTGCCCTGGCTCAGCACTGAACCCAGGGCCTCAGCCTGCCCCGGCCTGGTGACCTTCCCAATCCCCATCCCCCTTTGTCTGTCTGTCAGGGGCCTGGCCCTAGACTATCAGCCTGGCTCCTCCCCACACCGAGGCTGTCTGTGGGCTCTGACCTGCTCACCCTGAGCTCCTTCGGGATGGCTGGGCCAGGCCCCGCCCTGCTCCAGGCCCTGCAGGGGTGGCAGGTGCACTGCTGTCTCAGGCCTCGCCCCACACCTGCTTCCCAGCTGGTGACACCCAGGCTGTTGGGGCAGATACAGGTGGGAGCGAGGGTGCCCAGGGACAACCCGCTCATCAGGGCTGCCTCTGTCCCCAGCAAGCCCTGCAAAGCCCCAGAAGTTTCTGGTGTGGAAGGAATTCTCCAGCCAGGGTGGTCATGCATCTGGGCCAGTCGTGCAGGGATTGACTGTGGGCTGAAGGTACCGTCTAGGAGCCCCTGACCTGCTGGGCCCACTGCTCCCGGAGGAGCCAGGAGGCCTGGGGACAGCACGGGGGACAGATCAGAGGGCGGGGAGGAGAGGCAGCCATGGCTGGGACACCCGCACCAGGCGGGCCCTCCCTAGGAGGGCAGGGGGACCCGTGTCCCGCTGTGAGAACGCATCCAGCAGGGGCTGGCTGGGGAGGCCTGACACCGTCGGGCGCAGAGCTGGCGCAGCACACGCGCACAGGCACGGCTCCCAGCCACTGCGAAGCCCAGGGCAGCCCCGGTGCGCCCACAGGGGCTGTGGCGGAACTGGCAGGGCCTGCGGGATGGGCAGTCGCCTCAGAAACAAGTTCTCTCTGGGCACAGCCAGTGGACAGCCTGACCCACTGCTCAGGCAAGCTGGTGGCAGCGGCCAGTCCCCTCTACTGCCCAGCAGGGCTCTGGGCAAGCAGATCAGTCTGCTGCCTTCCCTGAAGTTCTCAGGGGCCCTGCCCACAGACACCCTCCTCCTTGCTGTCCCGGTGACACGGGGTCTCATCCTGATGGCACCCCTGCCCTGGGGAAGCCACGGAAACTGCTGGCAGCTGACAGTGACCAGGGAAGCGCCCAGACCCATTGCCACAGCACCCACCTAGGGGTCTCAGCTGGACACCTGGAAGCCCCCACCTCATGTCCTGGCCTTGCCAGGCCTGCCAGACTTCAGGCTGGCCCCTCTACCCTGCTGCTCGCAAACACCACTCACCTGGAACTCGGGGCCCATCACAGGCTCCTCGGAGGGGCCCCACCCCCACCTGTCGAGCACCCACAAGGCCCTTTCCGTTGGGGCCTCCCTCAAATCCCAGCGCAGGACCCCGACCGCCTGAGTGCTCACGTCACCTGGGAAACACGACGAGGATGCTTCCTGAGCCGGGAACCCCGGGGCCAGAGGTGGGCAGAACCCACGCTCTGAGTGCTGTAAGGACTCTCGCACTGGACAGTCCAATGCACCCAGCAGCCAGGGCTCCTCCAGGCCAGAGAGCCCCTCACACCCACCGGTGCCTGCCCCACCTGCACCACGGCCCAGGGCCACAGCACATTCCACAGGGGCAGGTCTGAGGCTGGGCCACCCAGCCCTCCAGGTGTGCGGGACGCCCATGCTGTGCCCCACAGTGAGCCCACAGGCCCTGCCAGGAGCAGGCAGGTGCAGCAGGAGCACAGAGGCCACCCGAGTCCCTGGCCCTGGGTGGGCACGGCGCCCTCCTCCCGCCCTGGCTGTGTATTCTCTCCTCAGCCATGAAGTCCCTCCCGGGCTGAACTGGCCAGGCCGGAAGAAAAGCAATTGTTTCCTGCCTGGACGGGAGGCCTGGGTCCCAGCAGGCCTGCTGCTCCAGCGCCTTCCCTACCGCCTTGCTCAGGGGACAGCTCCTGGAAGCCCCACCCAGGCTGGTTCTCCGGGGGGGGGGGTTGGGGGGGGTTGGGAGTGTGAGGGCATGCAGGGCCCAGACCTGCTGGACTCCAGGCCCTGCCTCCAGCCACCCAGCACAGGCACACCCAGTGCAGACTCCTTACTGGGGACGGGGCTGTGGACAGGTAGGGAAGCTCTCCGTGACAGCCCCCACGACCCCCCTGAACTCCCCAGGAACCAACCTCTCAGCCCAGCCCTGGTCTGTCCCCCACTCAGTCCCCAGTCCAACTACACCAAGGCACCCACATATCCTAGACGTCTGCCCTGACCTAGGTGCACGGCCCCTCCAGCCAGAGACGCCCACCTGGAAGCTTTTCCTCTCCTTCAAGGCCTGGCCTGGCCCTGTGATGCCCATGCCTCTCCCCTCCCCAAGCCTACCTGGGCTATGGGCCCTGGGTGGCAGCACCCCCCACCCCACAGGCCGAGGACGGGGCCCAGAGAGCAGCCTGGCTGGACTCCTCAGGGCTTGGTCAGGGACACGCCATGGCCACCACTAGGAAGAGCCGATGATGGACAGCAGGGATCACAGCCCCGGAGAGGGTGCCTGTGGGGTTGGGGACAGCAGCTTAGACACCCCTCCCTTCCACATTCAGATCTGCCCGCTGAGGCTGTCACCAGGACACACCAGGTGAGGCACAGAACAGACCACATGAGGCCAAGGACACCCCACAGTGGGTGGGTAGCTGGCGGCAAGTGCACAGCGCCACAGCCTGCCTTCCCCAGACAGTCAACAGGGCCCGAGCCCAGCCCCGGGCAAGCCACAGGTTGGGGCCGCTGCTGGGGGAAAACCAACATTTCCATGGCCGGCGAGGCGCCTGGCGGGAGCTGGAGGCCCATTGATCCTGCACAATGGAGAAGGGCCTGTGTTTCCAGGCCCAGCCAAAGGAGACTTTGTTCACGGCTCCCTCCCCCCCGCCCCCGAGGGGACTGTGATTTATTCTCCCGTCCAGGAGTGGGGCCTGAGTACGCGAGGCGGCTGGCCCGCACCCCACCTGGCAGTGCCTGGGCCTGGCTCCCGCCTGTCCACCTCAGTCCACCGCCCTCTGGCCTGCTGCTGCCCAGCGGGACCTGGGGGGCAGGGAGGAGTTCCCCGCAGCCCAGCGTGAGGCCACGGCCCTGTGATGCTCACATGCATCCTGACGGCCACACATGTTCCCACTGAGTCACACGCACCGCAGACCCAGAGGCCCCAAGCCTGTCCTCCCCTGGTGGGGGGGGGCAACACACATGGCCAGCGCCCAGCTTCCTGGCATCTTTGTTCCGTTCACCCAGCGCAACCTGGAGGGCTGGCTGCTCAGGGCCCACTCCACGGCGTTGCCATCCTTGGAAAAGTTCAAGTACAGCACTTCCCAGAAAACCCCTGAAACAACTTCTTCCAAAGCTATTTGAGAAAAGTATTTCGTTCTGAACCTCTCAGGCTCCCACTGTGAGAAATAAAATGGAAATGGAGAAAGCCAAATTCTATCTTTTCTCAACTTTGGAAAAAACAGTTCAAGACAAACCTACCACGATTGTGAAACTTTGGGAAAAGGGGAACTTTGAAAACATGATCCGACTCCAGAGATGTGCCGACTGCAGAAGTGGCGACACCATGGGGAGAGTGGTTTTCAAAACACCCCACACACGCTCTGTGCCAGTTTGCCGACCCAGAGGAGGTCCACCCTGACCCGCTCACCCGGGAAGTGGGAGAACCTCAAGTCAAGGCCCAGAGACACCAGTGCAACTCAGGAAGAGTGCCTCCGCCCCCACCCGAAACCACAGAGGCCCTGCCTTTGGACAGCGGCCCCCAGCTCCCTGCTGCACCGAGCCAGCGGAGCTGGATACCAGGCCCAGCTCCACGGCAGAGGCTGAGGGGCACAGAGTAGGGTGTGGCCCTCCAGAGCCCCTCAGCGCCAGCCCAGGCCCTGCTGCCCACTGCCATCCACTGTCCACTGCCACCCCCACTCCACCTCGGGCTCCCACCAATGACCAGGCCAGGACAGCAGCCTCCAGAGCCTCCCTAGCGTAGTGGCCAGGGGACAGGCAGGTGTGGGGATGGGGGCGTCTGAGCAGATAAAGGAAGAGTTGGAGTCTGGGCCACGGGCTGCCAGGGGCCTTGCTGAGCATAACTCGAGTGCCCACAGTGCCCAGGACGCTGCCCAGACCAGCCATGGCTGGGCTGCCCCCACCCCCAAGCCAGCCGGCCAGTGCCCGGCTGGGCGGGCGGCGGGAGGGGGGGTACCGTGGCATGAGGCCCACCTGGGCCGCCGCCCGCCACCCAACACCCGAACGTGGCCATATAAGGCCGCATAGGGCTCGGTGCGCCCACTGGGCGGCAGGGGAGGGGTTCAAAGCCTCATAGGACTGGCGGACAGGGCAAGGACGATCCTGAGTGGTCAGCACACCCAAAGGGCCGGCCTGGCCACAGGTCCCGCCTAGCTGAGGGGAAGCCAGCACAGACCATGGCGGGCAAGAGTCTGAGGGTACACATCACCCGTTACCTATCAGCTGCGGATGCCCCGCTGGTTGGGGCTGGGGGCAGGTCAGGGGCCCCTCAGGGGCAGCCCAGGCCTGCCCACTTGGACATCAGGTATGTGAGTGTGCACTGGGCTCCAGCGTGGTGCAGGCCAAGAGCACCACGTCCAACCTCACATAGGCTGTCCTTGGGGTCTGCCTTGAAATAGGCCCCTCCCCTACACAGTACAGCACCCCTGGGGGCTGGGGACTCTGTACCTGAGGGTGGGCAGGCCCAGGCCACAGGGCTGGATCACAAGTCCCAGACCCCAAGAGTGTATCCATTATCCCCACACTGCACCCTGGTCACCATGGGACTTAACTGGGTCCACTGTGGCCAAACAGCCCACCCACCAAGAGTCCAAGATGACCAGCGGCCCTCAACTGCAGGTTCTCATGTGTATATGGATATGTGTCCTGTGGGGAGCGGAGGCCAGAGCCTACCCAGCTGGCAACTGTGGGCCCCCCTAGGTGAGCTGGGGGTGCCCTTAAAGAAGTCCCTGCAGGTGAGCTAGGGGTGCCCAGGGGGTCAGAGGGGGCCCTCTGGGTGAGCTGAGACTCCCAATGGGTGAGGCGGGTCCATGGGTAATGGGGGCCCTTGTGTGAGCAAGGGGGGTAAGTTAGGGGTACCCTATGGATAAAATGGGGGAACCCCAAAGGTAAGAGTGCCTCGAGGGTGAGCTGGGGCCTGCAGGTGAGGGGCCACTAGCACAAGCCGGCAGGGGCGGGGCACAGGCACGCGCCAGGCGGGCACTGGGGCAGAGTTGAGGGCCGGAGGGAAAGGGGCGGTGCTGGCCGAGGCCGGGGCGCTGGGCCGGGCGCCAGGACTCACCTCGGGCGGCGGCAGCAGGCGGGAGGGCCCCCAGCAACAGCGGCGGCAGCAGCAGCAGCAGCAGCAATGAGGGGCTCGGCGTCATCTCGGCCAGTCCGGACCTGGGAGTTTGGGGGTGGGGGGCGGTCACTGGCGCGCGGGGTGCGAGGCGCCACCCTCCGGCTTAGGGCCCCGGACCGCGGGGGTGGGGTGCGGGCTGGTGCTCCTGGCGGAGGAAGCGGCGGCGGGGAGACCGTGGGTATCAAAGCAGACAAAGGGTTTACACTAATTACCGCCTCCCCGCCGCCCCCTCTCTAAGCACCGTCTGGATTCCTGGCGCTTGTAACTCGGGCCTGCCCGCGGGACACACAACACCGGCGGCCCCGCAGATAATCGCCTGCGCCATTAGCGGACAAATTTGCGCTGGGGGGGGGGGCCCACGTGGGGTGCCTGGGGGGCGGGGCGCGCAGGACCCTGGAGCGGGCGGGAGCAGCGACGGCGCGTGCCAGTGCCCAGTGGCGGCCCCGCGGATCAGGGACCGTGACCCTCCCGGCCTGCGCCCTGGACCCCGGACCCCGACCCTCCCACTCAGTTTCCCAGTTGTCCCCGGGAACCGCAAGCAAGCGCGGAGGGGCTCACCTCGGCCGAGCTTGCGGGCGGTGGGGCTCAGGGCCGGGCCCGCGGGGCGCGCTGGGCGGTCATCGCCGCCCCGGGCGCCGCACCCCGCCGCCCCGCGCCCCCGGGCCCGGCCTCGGGATGGCCCGGCGCTACCTGGGCGCAGGCGGCTCCGGCCGGGGCGGGAGTCCGGGGCAGGGTGAGCAGCGAGGTCGCGTCTAGGGGCCGGAGGCCGGCGCCGGGGTCCCGGGGCGGCGGGGCGAGGGACCCGGGGCGGCGCGCCGCGAGGCGTCCTTCCCTGCGGGGCTTTGTCAACTCTCCCAGAGCGAGCGCCGAGCCCGCCGCGCGCCCCGCCCCGGCACAACTTTCCGCCAATCGGCGCTCCGAAGCCCGCCCACTCCCCTCTCGCCCCGCCCTGCGCCCGAACTTTCCGCCAATCCGAGCGCGCGCTCGCCCCGCCCGCGGGGCCCGAGGGCTTAACCCTTGAGGTGCGGAGGCCCGCGGGCGGGGCAGCACCCCGGGGCGCAGCCCCGCCCTCATCCGGCCCGCCTCCACCCGGGCCCGCCTCCTCCAGGTCCCTGCCCCTGGTCCTAGCCCCGGCCTCGGCCCCGCCCCCACCAAGCTCCGCGCAACGCCAGGTGCCTCGGAGCCCACCCTATCTCTTTGCAGCCGCCTCAGAGGCCCCCAAACCAGGGCACCCTCTTCCCCAGCACCCCCAGAGCTGACCTCTGGCCAGCTGCATCCAGCTGCCCAGGAGTGGAAAACTGGATGGCCTTGGGCGCTTCTGGGCCGCGGATCTGTGTTTTGTGTTGCGGTTGGAGTTAGAGGCGTGATCCAAAACCCAGCTTCGGACCACAGCGGCCGGAAGTGGAGCCCAGGCTTACCTGGTGCCCTTGACCGAGGGCAGGTGTGTTCCCACCGCCCACCAGCAGGCTTCTAGCCTCTCACCTGCTACTGATAACAACACAGGACCTGAATAATGATAGCAGTAGAGAACAACACACACAGCGCTTCCTTTAATCCTCACAGTGAGGCAGGTGTCTGTCACCTGGTGCAGATGAACAAATGCAGGCACGAAGAAGGCAGGTAATTCACCCGAGAGTTCCCAGCCAGTAGGGGGCATGTCCAGGACTGACCGGGCTGCTGTGGAGTCCAGCTCTCCTGAGGTCCTTTCTCCACTCTGCCCCACCTGCTCTTTCCCTGCACGCGCTGGCTCCCGTGCCTCCCCCACTTTCACTCGTCAGTCTCTCGGACACTCACGCTGTCCTCTCGTCCTTTCGGACCTGAACTCCTCCGGGTCCAGGCTCCCCCAGCTTCCCTCCACTGTCACTTCACTTGAATTGAAAATCACTTTTAAACACAACTCTGACCCTTCTGTGGTTCACCAGCGCCCACAATACTAACCCCGTGACTTTTGAGGCCCCGGATGCCTGGGTCCTGCCCATCTCTAACCCAACTCTGCCCACATTACAGCTCCCCTCCCCCAGGGCCCGGCTCCCCTGGGTCTTTGCCCACAGTGTTTCCTCGGGGAACACTCTCCCCTCTCAGGAGGCCGCTCTTCCAGGAAGCCTTTCAGGGAAGACTGGATCTAGGGAGGCCTTGCAGGCTGTGTCCCCAGAGCAGAGGACAGTTGGTGAGGGGTACCAGCCGTCAGGATCTGGGGCCCATCGAGGCCCCGCCTGCCCACCCTTCCCCAGCCAGTGAGAAGGCAGCCCTGCAGACCCTTTCTCTGGGCCTGTATGAGCATGTGTGGGACAGTGGGGGCAAGAAGGCAGATCTGAATAGCTGTCCTGAATTTGGAGTCAGGCTCTGCAGGCAGGTGAGAGGCCACTACGAGCCACCATCAGGGCCCGCCTGAGGACCTGAGGCTGGCACTGGGGGACAAAATGGCATGTGGGTGGAGAGGTCCCAGGCTGCCCTGGACTTTGGACTTCCAGGACAGGTTTGAGAGGAGACACCACCCAACCATGAAGAGCTCCACAGGTGTGTAGGCTGCCAAGGGCAGGTGTGTGGGAAGGTGGCTCTGAAGTAGATTAGAACAGGAAGTGGGCAGAGGGTGGGAGACAAGGAGGGCACAGCAGGTGATTGGGCTCAGGTGGGTTGGCAGTACAGGCAGGTGGGGAGGCGTGGCTCCTGCCGGGTGTGAGAGTGAAAGCGGAGCATCCTGAGTTCTGCGCCCCGCCCTGGCTCTGAGGGTGCCCACGGCTCAGGCCCACTCCCTGCGCAGGGACGCGCTGCCCCCTGGCGGAGGCACTGGGCGTGGCGGCTCCCCTCCCATGCTGCTGCCCCGCCCAGCCGGCCCGGTCCGCCCGCACCCTCTCCGCCTCACTCCCCACCTCAGCGCCAAGCCTTCCCAGCGCGGCACAGGCCGCTTCCTGCGGAAAGCCCTCCGACCAGCGGGCTCCCACGGCCCCTTCCTGACAACTGTCCCGGAATAAGGAATCTCATCAAATCCTCCCCCTTTTAAACTGAGGCTCAGGGCAGTTCCCTAATGGCTGGGTCTCTGTCTCCACACCTTCAATCTGATCCCACAGGACTGCAGGAGTCCTCACCTGTCTCCCACCTGCCCTGCCCAGGTGAGTCCCCAGAGTATTAATTCGCTAGTCGTATAGTCATCGTTGAACCGTGACAAGCTGAGCCTGGCCCTGAGCCCCGGCTCTGTCGCTGGCTGGAGATGTGGGGTGCAGTGAGGAGGCCGTGGCCCCAGCCCTCCCAGAGATGGAGTCTTAGGAGCAGGTGTGGGTCCCGATGAGGCACACACAGACAGTGGACACACTGATGTCACACACAGATGTCACACACAAAGAAAAGACAGTGATCCTTGAGAAATAGCAGGCAAATGAGGGGGAGCCTAGGATGGCCCCGTCCCCTGTGTCCCCTGCAGACAGGGGATGGAGAGGGCCAGCTGGAGGGACATGTGGCTGGAGTTCACGGGGAGAGTCCTGGAGAAGAGAGAGTGGCACGAAAAGGGGACAGCAGACACCTGCAAAGGCGCGTCTGCCTCAAGGCTTCAGCAGCGAACAGGTGGGTGCAAGAGTGGGGAGAATCCGAGAAGGGCCTGGGAAGTCACCACCCAGTGGGAGAGAGCCACACGGGGCACACATGGTCCCTGAGAACCTTGTGACCAATCTAAGGAGCATCCTGCCGATTGCATGTGGTTCTGGCACTTCCCACCCAGGCTTGGCGGCGAGGCCCAAAAGGATTTGTTCACAGGTAACTGAGCCGCAGAACAAGTGCAAGAAATGCATGGGGATTCAAAATGAGCCAGCACCCAGACACGGTGGGGCACAAAACGTTGGGCACCTGTCCCAGAACTGAGAGACATGAAAAGAGGCCCGAAGTTGCAGCCAACACTGAGGGGGGAAGTCACTCAAACGAGCCAGGAACAACGGAGGTGGAAGAATTGGCAGATGAGAGCATCACACGCACCCACTGGGACTCTCTCCCCGGGGGGAGGTGGCGAAAGACTGGTCACAGGAAGCAGATGTAGGGACAATTTTCAGCCTCTGACTGGACTTCCAGAGGTGAAAACTGTAATGTATGGGATAAATAATACATGGGATGGGAATAAGGACATTGCAAAAGGAAAGACTGATGACCTTGAACACATGGCCACAGACACTCTCCAGATGAAACGGGGAATGCTGGGAGTCAGATGAGGCCAGTGTGAGACGGTCAGGCGGTGTGCCAGGGGCACCAGAGGCCCCAGGAAAGGAGGCAGAGGTGAGAAATAAAAACTCTTTTAAGAAAAAAACAGCCAGACTTTTTCCAGATGTATTGAAAAATATAACCCCACAGTTCCCAAAAGCTCAAGAAAACTTAAACACAAAAAGCATGAAAAAACTACACTGAGGCAACTACATCACTGTCAAAATGCTAAAAAAACAAAACAAAACCAGCCCTGGCTGGTGTGGCTCACTGGATTGAGTGCAGGCCTGTGAACCAAGGGGTCACTGGTTCAATCCCTGATTGGGGCACATGCCTGGGTTGTGGGCCAGGTCCCTAGTTAGGGGCGCTTCAAGACACAATCACACATTGATGTTTCTCTCCCTCTCTCTCCCTCCCTTTCCCTCTGTCTAAAAATAAATACAATTTTTTTAATGCTGAAAAACAGTTATAAACAGAATAGCTTAAAGCTTCCCGAGGAGAACAGGTGCGTTTCGTATGTGGGAACAAAGAGAAGGAGGTTGAGGGACAGAAGCTGACGTCTTATCGACCCCAAGGCAGCGAGCAACCTGTTTACAACGCCAGGAAAAGAAGCCGCCAGTCTGCATTCTGCACCAGCACAGAGGCCGTCTGAAAACACAGGGAGGTGAGGGCTCTTCCAGGCATAAGAAGCTGGGAGGGTGAGTCGGCGCAAACCTACACTGACGCTAAATGCTGAAGTCTGTCCTCTGGGCAGGAGGACACAGTACCAGCTGGAAACCTGGAGCCACGCAAAGCAATGAGGGACATGGGAAATGGAAAAGTACCTATTAAAGTGCCTCTCTTGGCCCCAACCAGGGAG